TTTTTTCATCGATAGTCTGTAATTGGAACCATAACTCTTATTTATTCAAATTGTATTAATATGTAAAGACCAAATGTAACATATATCATCGTTAAATCTTATCTTATAAAACCAGTGGAACTTCAAAATCGTTAAAATTCATGGTTCCCGCCGCATTGCGCGGGTACACAACTAGTATATACATATATGATAAGAAGCATTGAAAAATACTTTTTGGACAATCTGGTCATTTCAATAAATTTGTCTTGTCCTATTTTAGTCATACCAAATGTATGACAGACAATTGATTCAGTTTTGTCTAGTCTAGTTACATCTTGTCTCATCCAATCTACAAACCAGACGCCAACTAAAGAATTAAATTGGTTGATACAGTAACAGCCTAGTGGGTATTAGTACAAAAGTTGAAATATGATATTGGTGAATTGGTAGGATGAGATGAGTTGAGCTAGGTCTAACCCAATTTTTTATTAATTGACACTTTAGTGAGTTGGGTTTAATACGGTTATTTGTGGGCTGGGTGTGTCGTGTTGGCGTTTTTGTAGGGTTTTTAGGTGCCTTTGTATCTAATAAACTTTGGTTTATAGCTGTTTATATTTATTATCTATACTATATTATAGAACATGTATTAGATGTTGTTTATTAATATACAATCTTTTATGGCTATGTTTGACAAACTAGTTGATAAACCAACTGATGGCTGGTAAGCAGTAAGCTAGCTATTAGCTTATAAGTTAGCTTATTGCTGATAAGCTTGCTGGTAAACAAATCATATTGGTAAAACTAGCTGATAAAAATGTACAATTATAAAAAAAAACATCTTGAAAATTTAATCAATTACAATATTTTAAAATAAAATAAAAATGTACTATTATAGATAATATGAATAAAATAAAAATGGTCTACCTCAAATATCTCAATTAATTAATATATTTTCAAAAAATATATTTAGTGATTAAATTAAATATTTTATTCAAATTATTTAATACATTTTATGAAACAAAATAAGTATAAATTTAATTTTTATATTACATAAACATTTTTAAAATTGCTATATTCATATTTTGATAACCAAATATATTGAATAATAATTAAAAATAATAATATGAAAATAATTGATATGATTAATAATTCTGGTAAATAATTAGTATAATATATGTATAATGTATAATTAATGAATATTAATCAATACTTAATTAGTATTTATTAACAATTAATATTTATTAATATTAATGAAGTTTAAAATTTATTAATATTTTATTTAAAATTAATAGTAATAAATAATAATTAATATGAATAAGAGTTATAATTGAAAAAAATGACAATAAGCTAACAAAACGCTACTTCAAATAGTGTTTCAATAAGCTAACTTATGTATATCCAAACATGTACACAGAAAATAAGTTAGCTGATTTTTACCAAACAATGTCTAAAATTTAAGTTTATAACTTATTATTACGTGTAATATATATGACATCTTAAAATTATATATTTAAATGATGAATCTCATAAAACCAACTAATAAATTTGTCTTTAGTTTGTGTAATAACCAAGGTTCTAAATGGTTTGGCGTGGGTCGAAGCCAAACCTCAATCCTTAGAAGTCATGACGAGACCACGACGTTTTTTAATGAGCGATTTATGGCGGCAAATCTCTATATCATGTATAATATTATATATAAAATCATATGTTTTATACTATCACTCAATGAGTCAATGATAATAAACAACTTAAATTAAGTTATATATTAAAAATGACAAATAAGACATTAAAAAACGTAAGGAAAAATCAAATATCATGTTATAAAAATGCCTATTAAATCATGACATACCATTGATTTGACATGGCTTAAAACACAACTGTCATTACGTCCACAATATCCACATTCGCGATATTACGGACCTGGTTAAAAGACAAAAAAGAAATTCAAATTGCACCAGATTAGCAAGTGTCATCGTCGCAATTGCGGACCTGGCCGTCACAATTGTGTACCTAGGTTGAATATGATAATTTTTTATGTCTTTTAGTTAGATCCGCAATATTACGGACATAGTAACATTTGGGGGGTTGTTTGTTTACCTCTTAATAGTTTCATTAAGAAGCAATCTCTGAATCATTAAGAGGTGAATCTTGTTTGGCAAAAAAGTCTGCTTCTTAATGGTTCTAAAACTCTCTGAATGATTTTGTATCATGAGTCTCCCTTAACCATTAATAATCATAATTTCATTGTAAATAATTATATTTCATTTTGCACTATATAATAAGAGTCTTTTAATCATTCTGACCACTTAATTATTCTGCACAAAGCTATTCAACAACTGTTAAACAACTTCTTAGATAAAATCGAAAGAGTAATGACCACGACAGGAGACCAATTTGAATAGATAGAAGGAGTATTTAGTAAAATCGCAGGTGCGGAACACGTGACACCTCATCCGTCCCACTATCATCTCATCTGATCTTTCCAACGACACAAAACCAAACCAACACTAGCCATTCATACAGCCACGCTCCTTTCACTCTATTCCGTACACCTTCCCTCCTCTCATTGGTTGCTTTTTAGATGGCCGGAGTTCTCGAAACCCTCGCCGTTCCTCGTGCCTCCGCTTTCCCGTCGGCTTCCTTATCTCCGATCGTTTCTTCTCCAGTCTCTCAACTCTCACTTCGCAGGAACTTTCTGCCGGAATCAAGAGCCTTAAAGTTAAACATCCATTCCTTTCGCTCTTCTGGATCCGTCAAATTGAGGTCGAAGTTCGGCCGTCGTGGTGCACGAGTCGTCTGTGAAGCTCAAGAAACAGCTGTTCAAGGTTAGAATCGTTCCTCGTTCGTTGTGAAATGGTGTTAAATCGTTTGTATTATACACTCCACTACTCTAGACCTGGTTTTTGCTGTAGGTATTGCTTATCCTTGTATTCATTTACTGTTATTCGCTTTTTAAGGATGGCTAATAATTTGTTTATGTTTTGGAGATGACATTTTGTAGCAGTAATAGATTTTTTAGTTGGCTACTCCTGCAGATCCTTCTTTCAGTGCTCTAGCAGCATTTCGTTGATGTTCTCGTAGTTGAATACTTCATACCTTTTTGTAGTTATGTTGTATGGGGAGAACAGGTGTATCTCGATTTGAAACCCTACTTAACTTGTTTCTTTTTGTGTTTTGCATTTTGTTAAAGAGCATTTTTCAAATGCAAAACTGACATAGATTCATTGCTAAGTAAACTTAAACATTATTCATTTGTGGTACTAAAACTTCAATGCAATTAGTAATTTGTCCTCAAAAAAATTAATTCATAGAAATTTGAATCCGTTATAACTCTCTTGACATCCTAATTGAAAGATCTTCTTGTCTACATTGGATGGAATATCTGTTGTTTTCATATGTAGGCTTCTCAGTTCCTACATATCCAGACATATAATTGAGAAGTTGGATCCATTGAAGTGCTTCTATGAAGAGCTAAACTAGTCCTACAACCCACCGGGCATTGTAAAATGACTTTTATCTGATAATTTTCTTTGGGCCTGGGGTAATTTTGATTTGATCTTCTGTGTTATCTTGGAATGATGAATTTTCTTTCATACAAGGTTCATTCATATGCAAACTGAAAAGCCTGGTCCATAGTTCTGAAGATTTGAAACTCGTAGAAACATAGAAGAAGGCTTTTCTTCAACATTTACAGTTTCATAAGTTGGTTATGATCCGTTGAAGCTAATTTAAGAGATAGGCTTTTACAATCTTTCGTTTGTAGACGGCATTGCAAAATGAGCTTTATTAAGAGTCTCATGCGGGCTAGACTTGGACACTTTTCATCCAATATATGTTGGAAATCCCTTCTCTCCCCAAGGGCGTTTTTTAGAGTAATTTGATGGGATTCTATATATTCTCACATGGTATCAGAGCCAGGGTCTAGGATCTACCATCTGGGACATCTTTACCCAGGACTCGACACTCAAGACAACTTTGCACGTCTAGCGTCCCTTGGGCGTGTTAGAGTCATGCATCGGCTAGACTTAGACACTTTCTCAATGTATGTTTGAACCCCAATCTGATGGGGTTCTTTATATTCTCACAACTTTCATTGTTGATGTGGACACCAAGTTGTATTACATATGTTGATAAGTAATTCAAGTAAATTGTTTTATTCCCTTCACATTGCAGTACTTCCTGTAACCGATGACACATGGCAATCACTTGTCCTTGACTCTAGTCTTCCCGTATTGGTCGAGTTTTGGGCTCCATGGTGTGGGCCCTGCCGCATGATCCACCCTGTCATCGATGAACTTGCAAAAGAATACAAGGGCAAGCTCACTTGTTATAAGGTGAACACCGATGAGAGCCCGTCAATTGCTACCAAATATGGAATAAGAAGCATCCCTACTGTCATGGTGTTCAAAGGTGGAGAGAAGAAAGATGCAGTTATTGGTGCAGTTCCCAAATCAACTCTGTGTACCTGCATCGAGAAGTTCTGTTAGAGGTACACTGTATATACTACTAGATTTGCGCCAATTTAGTTTTTCGATCTTATTTGTTTCATCGTTGTTTAGCCTATGATCATATCACAAGTACAGATACTGCAGATGGCACAATAAATTTGATATCCACCTGTATAGTTGGATTCTGATATATTTGCTGCAGTGCTTCTGGTTCCCACTCTTCCATATCTATGGCTTAGATGTTTTAACCTTTTTTTGTTGATTTGATTTTTACGGTTTCTAGAATGAGACTGGCCATGTAGACTATGACTATGTTCAGCAAACTAGCTGATAACTAGCTATTAACTAAAAAGCTAGCTCGTGACTGAAAAACTAGTTGTTGACATTGTTAACTGTAAACTAGTCACTTGGTAAAAACTAGCGGAGAAGCTAGTTGGTTAATTTACGAACTAAAACATCACCTATTTCCACCCAAGATCCCAACATTACAATTCCATTCTTGGCTTGGACGAATTATCCGTAGAGGATTGTTTAACCGTAGTGGTCTAAAATTTTAATTATTCTTAGTAATTATATATAAAAATATACACATGTCTGGTAAAAACTAGCTGATAACCTGAACGCTTGTCATGATTTTTGACCTGATGGTGTTGCCAACTTCTGCCTTCTCACAACTGATCGAGGCTTCCTCGTTGAGGTGTTGCACGGTGTTTGGCCCTAGTAATTAGTAGAACAAAGTGTAGAAGTTGGTCTATTTTGGGACCTCTATACCTTCTCAAAGGCCTTTTTGAAGATTAATCAAGCTGGATTTCACATATTCTCACATAGTATCAAAGTCAAAGTATGCTACTTTAGGGTCTTGACACTCTTGGACAATATGTGTCCGTTGAAGTGGGTGTGTTGGCCGGGAGTCGGCTGAATATGGATTACTTATCCTTGATATATGTTGGAACTTTTATTTATTTTTAAAGGCTTTTTTAGAAAGTAATCTAATGAGGTTATAATCATGAATGATTCTTTGCTTGCTTTTTTAATGTCCATAATGACCAATTGACCATCCAAAAGTTTGCTCTCATATCATTTGGAAAGAAAGGGGGAGTGGAAACATACGTGCATTGGATAAAGTTGTCTTGATGATGTGTGTAAAGTTGTAAGGCTGTCTGTAACGTTATGGTGAAGTCATAACGTTATATGCTCTTTTGCAAAACGTTATATGCACTTTTGCAAAACGTTATATGCCTTCTTAAAAATTGTGATGCAATTGGTCACAAAAAGCTGAATTTTTTTAAAATAAACCTTTATGGTGCGTTTGGTACACTGGACATGACAGAACATGACAGAGATCTCTGTCCCATGTTTGGCATGACTTTTATATGGAACGGACATGAACAAAGTGTAACAGGTCTGTTCCACCTCTATCCCATGGAACAAGGTGGAACAGACTTGTATTTTACCAATATAACCTCAAAGTAAAACTTAATTCTCTTCTAAAACATCAAATAAGTCTTTTTTTTTACATTTTATTTATTATTTAAATTTTATTTATTATATTTTATGTTTCTTAAACTTTCATTTTACTGTTCTCAAAATATTATTTTTATACGGTTTCTATATTTTTATTAATATGTGTAATTCATTATATATTAATAATAAAAAATAATATAGAAAAGATATGGAAATAAAAATTGAAAACTAAATAAATTTTTTATTTGGTGTCATTTTAATTGTTTTGACGAAAACTTTCAAATTGGTCATTCTACTTGTGCTGTTATGTCAAGTTTTATCTTACCAAACGTTGAATAGTTGTCTTATCGGGACGCCAAAAACAACGTTAAAGAGAAAAATAAAGAGAAAGATGTCATTTAAAAAAAAAAAATATAACCTTCAAAAATATATTTGTTAAAATGGAGGGTTGGGTTTTCGGTGAGAATTGAAGTTATAGTGAGAAGAGATCTCTACCTTTTGATCAATTTCAATAGAAGATCAACGCTTATGAGATGTACCGAGATACATATAATCAATTCTCATATCAAGCACAATTTATGGGATAAAAGTGAGATTAAAAGCGATCAATGGTTCAGATTCCTTTTCACACTTTTCACCTTAACTTTTGTTCTCACATGATCCTTGGTCTTAAAATGGAAAGATTGTGTAGTTTCGTGGTTTTAATAATCTTCTTAAGAGGTTTTAATTTTTTTTCCCTTTTCCTCCCAAACTAACGAAGAAACTTTTAAGAGGAAACTTATCAGTATTTTTGTTCGATTTCTCTTCATGTCTTTTCTAAAAGAGTTTCAAAACACGAGCCTTCTTTTACTTTAATCCCTTTTCCCTCTCTTCCATTTCTTTTATAATAAAGGTTTTGAGAACACATCATAAACGTCTGGTGGTCTATAAAATAGTAAAATGAATCAAAATGTAATGAACTCTGTTTAGTTTTTATTCACCGTGATATGAATTTCATGGGATTTCATAAGATTGTATGTAATAATGTTTTATAAAATGTTAAAACCTATTTGTTTTGTAATAATTAATTAATAAAAATGTAATTTAATTATTTTTATAACTATTTTTAATTTCTTTGTAAATTATTTATAACGAATGGAATCCAATTTCATTCCAAATTTTACAAATCAAACGCACAAAACATATCAAATTGTTCCAATTCCAAAGCCCAAATCTCTCAAAATCATTCTATCAAAATAAATTGAACCAAATAATTTATACTTACTGGGTCATAAATTATGTAAACCACAAGGGACGTGCCCAATTGGTTTGAGCTTAGGCTCCAAAGATGTATAGAGGTCACAAGTTCGAATCCAACGAAGAATAAAAATCCTATTGTGGCCACGAAGGTTTAAATGCAGTGACTCCGGACTACCCGCGAAGCAGATAGTCGTCTTGAGATTAGTCGACTCATATAACGAGTTAGATATCAAAGTTAATAAAAAAAAGTGTTGTATATTCTCGTAATTTTGAAATGCATATTAATCATATTAATTGCACCACTTTTTATTTTAATTAAATTAAGCAACATAAAAAATTAATAAAATAAGAATGTGACAAATAAGGTATTAACCATAATGATTTATATTAGGTAATTTTTTTAATAAAAATATGGAAAATAAAATAATTATCAGTATTATGAATATGAAAACAAAAACATGTGATATTTAAAAAAAAAAAAGCTTAATTTTTATTTAATTTTAAAAGTTAAAAAGCAAAACATTCAAAGTTTTCCAAAAATAGTTTTGTTTAAAAAGATGTTTAACCATTTAAGTTATATTTTATTCATTTTAAATTTTTGGTGTTATTAACCATAAGAGTGGTGTCTGATTGATTTGAGCTTGGCTCCAAAGGTCAAACGTACCTGGAAGTCCGAGGTTCAAATCCAATGAGAAATAAAAATCCTCTTGTGGCCATATAGGTTTAAATGCAGTGACTCCGGACTATCTGCAAAGCAGGTGTCGCCCTGGGATTAGCCGTCTCGCATAGCGGGTTGGATATCCAGGTTAATCAAAAAAAAATTGGTGTGTCTTTCTTATGAAATCAAAAATTAATTCATATGTTTTTTATTGTGTAAAATTCTCAGTTCTTGTCATGCCATGTTCATTTGATAAAGTAAAGAATTGTTTGGCAGTTGTTGATGATTTGATACAGAATGATTAAAAACTCTTATAATATAGTGCAAATGAAATAGAATTGTTTGGCAGTTGCTGATGATTTGATACAGAATGATTAAGAGACTCTTATAATATAGTGCAAATGAAATATAATTGTTTGGTAATTATTCAGAATGAAATTAGGGTGCTGAATGGTTAAAAGAGGTCAAAGATACAAAATCATTTAGAGGGTTTTAAAATCATTAAGAGACAGATTTTTTTTTTTGTGAAACAAGATTCATCTCTTAGCGATTCAGAGATTGCCTCTTAAAGAAACTATTAAGAGGTAAACAAACAACCCCTAAGTAATACATGGTAAGTGCTCGATAAATGATCCCTGAATTTTTTGTGGCTTGAAATGAGTTGTTTGTTTACCTCTTAATAGTTCTATTAAGAGGCAGTATCTGAATCGTTAAGAGATGAATATTGTGTGGCAAAAAAAAAGTCGGCATCTTAATAGTTCTAAAACCCTTTGAATGATTTTGTATCATGCGCCTCCCATAACAATTAAACGTCTTAATTCCATTTTGAACAATTATCAAACAATTATATTTCATTTTGTTTTATATTATGAGAGTCTCTTAATCATTCTGTACCAAACCATTCAGTAACTATCAAACAGCCTATAAACAAAAAAGAATTTTGTGTGGCACAATTATGAAACTAGTGAAACAAGAGGGATTGGTATGCAAAGATCCAAAGAAGCATTAAAAAACAGCAAAATTATGGGCAAGAGAGGAGCCAGCCGACTTTGACTCGGCTGAAGCTGGAAAAGCTTGGCTTAATAGATTCCTGTTGATTGTAATCAATTCTTGGAAATCTTTGTCTTAAATCCAAAAGCTGTCTTCCCTTAAATAATTAAATATGAATACAATTAATGTATTCATTTAATATATATACTTTTTGCTTAAAATATTTAATATTCTTTTATTTAAATATCAAAAATTCACCATAAAGTAAATTAAATTAATATTTATTTATCCAAATCCAGCTTTTTCCACATTTGTGATGGATTTAATTATTATTATTATTATTATTTGATTAACATGGATATCCAACCTGCTATGTGAGCCGACTAATTTTAGGACGGCCATCTGCTTTACAAATAATCCGGAGTCATCGCATTTGAACCTACATGGCCACAAGAAGATTATTATTTGATTTGTAATTAATGGTTACTATATTCAATCAAGAAACTTATTGGAAAAGAAGCAATGTCTTAATTCACGTGAGGTCAAGTTTCAAGTCTTATTATCGTGACATTTTATATGACATTTTTTTTTTATTAATTTGGATATTCAACTCGTTATACGAGTCGACTGATTTTAAGACGATACATACTTTGTGGGTGGTCTGAAATCACGTATTTAAACCTCCGTGACCATAAAGGAATTTTATTCCCAAGGACACTACTTTAAAAAACCCTCTTAAAGTTTGTAATTTTTGGGGGAAAATAAGGCTGAAATGAATTATTCTTTTAATTTAAAAATAAAACCAAAAAGTAAGAAATGAAATTATTAAAGAAATCATATTCCCATATCTCCTTTGTGAACCCCTCCACACTCCTTTTTCTTGCTTTTACTCTCTTTTCTCATTCTACTGGTTCCCTCTCTCTCTCTCTCTCTCTCTCTCTCTCTCACTCACTCACTCATTCATCACCAAACCCTCTTTCTCTCTCTAGAATCTGAAGCGAGCTTATAGAAATGAGAGGACCCTTAGGTTCAGTGATTGGGAAATACCCATCAAGTGATGGAAATGGCGAACATGGCGGTGGAAATGGGATCATAAAATACAACAGAAAATGCAGAGATGTTGTGTTTCTTGTTTTCTTCATAGCTTTCTGGATCGCCATGATTGTTAACTCCAGCTTCGGATTCAACCAAGGAAACCCATTAAGGTAAACAAGATAAGAAACTAGAAAGTTTGATGCTTTTTTGATTTCTGATTGAATGTTGTCAATTTCCCTTTAAGAAAAAGTTTAATTCCTAAAGGGTTTCTAGATTTCTTGCAATTAGTGTCTCTTTCATCCTTTATTATCTGTTTATGTGGGTTTCTAGAGTTAAATGAGTGTGTGTATATGGTGTTTTATGACTATGTGCTCTGATTGACCTTTACCTATTTATGGCATAAAAACATCTCCAACTTCTATGCTATTTTAAAGATTTGGTAAAGTTTGATCCAATGGATATGTTAACCTATTTATGGCATAAGAGCATCTCCGACAGCTATACTATTTTAAAGATTTTGGAGATTTGGGAAAGTTTGATCCAACGGATATGGTAACCTATTTATGGCATAAGAGCATCTCTGACAGCTATGCTATTTTAAAGGTTTTGGAGATTTGGGAAAGTTTGATCATAGGAGCTCTCTGACAGCGATGCTATTTTCACTCACGAAAGCATTAAAATTCTTTTAATTTCGAATGCTAATCATTTCACTACTTTCATGTCATATAACCTATCGAGCCTATGGTTTCCTTTTGGTTTTCTTTACTATATGGTGTATGATGAGTTGTGGTTGGGCAGGCTAAACTTCGGGTTGGACTATAAAGGAAACGTATGTGGAGGCAAACACGCAGATTTTGATCTCCGACAATTGGAACTCAAATATTGGGTTAATCCTAACCAAGTTTACCAAAGTGGATTGAAGAACAGCCAAGTAAAACTATCTAATGCTAGGACCATATGCTTGTTGGATTGTCCCATACCATCGGAAGATTCTCTGAATTGGGTTTGTGATTATCCAGAGGGAGATCTTCGTCTTTCTTTAGATGATTGGATCGACATGAACTATGATTATTTTGCTGATCTTACTCCTGAACTAAGGAATACTTCTCTTCAATTGCAAGGTCCTTGTTACCCTGTTATTTTTCCAAGCGTAAACGGTATGTCATGACCTCATAAGTCAAGTTTGTGTACGACAATATGTTATTTCATTATTGACTCACTGATCGTTGTAATTTTGGTCATGTAGTTTATTGGAGCTGTCAGTTTATTGCACGCCCGTCAAATGTGTCTTTAACACATTGGAAGCAAATGAATGGGGTTACGATTGCTGATGATATGGTTATAGATAAATCCATTCACAAGTCCATTAACTCACGGTCCTCAGTGTTGAAGGTATGAAACCCTTTTTTCCGTTCTTTAGAATCACTTAGGGCCTACTTGTTAGCAACTTAATAGGCTTAATGGTATGTAGAAAGCCAAGTTTTTTTTCCAAACCTGTTCCTCCCAATTAAAGAAGACACTACGAAGAACCCCTTCCAAACAAAAATGAAAAAAACTTTCACAATCTATACAGACAGATTAATACACACAAAGAACTTTATCCATACAGGACTTAATGGAAAACCAACCGCTTAGCGTATCTTGATGGAAACAAATGTTCTACTCCTTGGGGGTAGAGGTCTCGTTTGCTTACATCTTACCCCTAGACCTCGCCTCCGGGTGGGATATATTGGTTTCATTTGGTTCTGTTTGATTAGAATCACGCAACTTATCTTCATGGAAAAAAACTAATTCTACTCTTTGAGGTAGAGGTCATGTCAACGTACATCATATCCCCCAACCTCTGGGTGGGATATAGCGAACTCCTTTGGTTTTGTTTGATCAGAACCACATAGCTGATCTTCATGGAAACAATTGTTCTACTCTTTGGGGCAGAGGTCAAGTCGGCATATATTATGCCCCCTTCTCCCCACCTCCAGATGGGATATACTGGGTTCGTTTGGATTGAAACACTTATGCTAAACCAATTTAAGCACATTGTTACCGTTGCATATTTTCAAGATTGGGATTAATCTTTGGTGTAATGATCGCAGAGATATGTGGCGGATGTTGGAAAGTCATGGCCTGTGTTGATTGTTTGTGGAGGATTCCTGCCTCTATTTCTATCGCTTTTATGGCTTTTGATGATCCGTCATTTTGTAACTGGAATGCCATGGGTCACCGTCTTTCTATTTAATGGCCTTATAATATCTGTCACAATGTTCTACTACATGAAAGGTGAGATTATATATATATATATATATATATATATAGAGAGAGAGAGAGAGAGAGAGAGGTGTTCAGGGAAAACCCCCAAAAAATAAAGAACTGAGGAACACCCTAGTAACCATTCATCTGAACAGTATGCATGTGCATACAAGTAATTAAAGCTACTTTTTGGTTTTTATGCACCAGACAAATTGCTAAGAAATTACTTGTATGCACATGTGCATACCGTCCGGATAAACGGATACCAATTTGTTCCTTAGTTTTTCATTTTTTTGTTGTTTTCCCTTGAACCTGACCCTATATATGTTATATATATGGGCCAACTTATTAATCTCGTAAATTTCCAATCATTAGTCTGAATCTTCAAATGTTGATTCCGCTATCCCGTATTTTGCATTGTGTAGCTGGATGGATTGGGAATGATGCTATCTCACCCATCATCGGTGAACATGATCCATACTATCATGTTTCTGCAAGGGTACGTTTTTTAGATTAATTGATCTGTTCATTCATGTACTCATAAAAAGACCTGCATTCACTACTTTGCTTTCTTCAGGAGCAACATCATATACGTGCTGCTGCTTTTCTCATGACATGTGTGATGATTGTTGCGGTTCTATCATCTATAGCTATTGTTCGTCGGATTCTTATGGCAACCTCGGTTCTCAAGGCAAGTAATAATGTCTTGTAATCCCGCAAAATATATTATCAACTTTGTGAGAATGTGTAGAACCCGTTAGATTACTCTCTATAAGAGCCCTTGAGGAGAGAAGGAAGTTTCCAACCATATATTGAGAAGAAATGGTCCAAGTCTAGCTGATGGGTCTCACACTCCCTCAAAAAGAGGCCATATGGGCATTGATTGTCCCTGAGGGTGTGTTTGGTACCCAGATTGGGCAGGACAAAATAGTTGTTAAAGGTTTGGTAAGACAAAACTGGATAAGACAGATAAAATGACCAATTTAACCCTAATAAGTTGTTTATATCTTTTATATATTTTGATAAATTTATGTAATTTGCCAAATTATAATAAAATAAATATTTTTCTAACAAAGTATGTCATTAGAAAGTTTTCATGAGACGATTAAAATGACACCATTTTTTTTACGTAGTTTCCAATTTTTATTTTATACATTTTCTATATTATTTTATTATTATTAATATTTAATAAATTACATGAATTAACCAAAAAACAAAAACTATATAACAATAATATTTTGTCGACTAAAGTTTAAAGATCATAAAATACAAATAATAAAATTTAAAGAATGAATAAATGTAAAGAGAGAGAGGCATATATGATGTTTTAGAAGAGAATTATGTAGTATTTTGAGGTTATATTGGTAAAAATATAGGTCTGTTCCACAGGATTCCACATAAAAGTCCTGCCAAACGTGGAACATTGATCCATGTTATGTCATGTCTTGTCCAGTGTATCAAAAGCACACCAGGTGTCGGGAGGGGGCTAGATAGGTACAGATTGCCTCACAGAGTCACAATGTCGAGTCTATAAGGGGTAGACGTTGGCTCTGATACCATGTGAGAATATGTGGAACCCATTAGATTACTCTCCACAAGAGTCCTTGCAGAGAGAAGGTTCCAACATATATTCAGAAGAAATGGTCCTAGTCTAGCTGATGTAGGACTCCAACACGCTCACTCAAAAGGAGGCTAAATGGCATAGATTGTCACAAAGTGCTGAGAGGGGTACAAATTGCCCAACTATGTTAGGAGCCCTAGAGTGGTTGACTGACTCTGGTACCATGTGAGAAAATGTGAGGAGGCTAGACGAGTATAGACTGCCCCACAGTGTTAGAGTCCCTAGAGTGGTAGACCTTGACTCTGATACCACGTGAGAGTATGTGGAATCCATTAGATTACTCTTGAAAAGATTCCTTGAGGAGAGAAGAGAGGTTCCAATATATATTGAGAAGAAATGATCCAAGTCTAAGGGGCTGTTTGGTTGGTTTTCCATTAAGTCTTGTATGGATAAAGTTGTTTAGTGTGGATTAATCTGTCTGTATAGGTTGGGAGGGTTTTTTCATAGATGAAATGAGTGTATTTTTTTAATGGGGAGGGGTAGGTTTGGAAAATCTTGCCTTTTTGTATAAAACTCCCCCCTTAAAGCTTACTGAATAGGTCACTTTCTATATCATTAAGCCACTACCAAACTGACCGAATAAGTCATGATTTCTATTAAACTCATTAAGCTGCTAACAAACATGTCCTAAATCGATGTGGGACTCCAACAAACTTGATGCCGTTACTTCTTGCAAAAATCTAGAGTCATATTCTCAAAATATTCTTAAATCCATATGAAATATACAAGTATTCCTTCATCTCGTTTCTCATATATGCAGGTTGCTGCAAAGGTCATCGGTGAAGTTCAAGCTCTCATAATATTTCCGGTGATTCCATATGTAATCCTTGCAATCTTTTACATGTTCTGGTTGTCGGCCGCCCTCCATCTTTTCAGTTCTGGTCAGATCGTCCAAAACGATTGCAACACAAACTGCTGCGCATATGATCTCAAAGCGAAAAGGGTCAGTTGTGATGATTGTTGTGGCTATAGCATTCATTACACCTCTCATATTGCAGCTTCGATCCTATTCCACCTGTTTGGATGCTATTGGGCTACTCAGTTTATCATTGCATGCTCTTCAACCGTGATTGCTGGTTCTGTAGCTTCCTACTATTGGGCTCGTGGGGAAACTTCGGTTAGCCACTTAACCTATTCACATATGAATAGAAAACATACTTAGTTTTTGCATCATTCTCGGCTAATTATCTATCTTGATGTGATTCAGACAGCGATTCCATTTCTTCCAGTTTTCTCCTCGATGAAGCTACTCATGCGCTACAGCCTTGGCTCTGTGGCAATCGGTTCGTTGATCGTGTCTTTTGTTGAGTCGACTCGGTTCATACTTGAGGCCATACGTCGCAGATTGAAAGTTGCTGATATTCTGCCTGAAAGTTGGATTAAGAGGATGCTGTTTTATACTTCTCAGTTTTGCTTGAAGTGTATTGAGTTGACCATAAAATCCGTAAACCGCAATGCATACATTATGGTAAGGAAACACTCCGACTTTATCTCTTTGTCACACTTTTCACAAGCTGGGGATCTTTACGGAAACAATGACCCCACCTCCGGGTGGGATATACTGGGTTCGTTCGGTTTGGTTTGGTTTTGGCACTCGTTCTTGGTTTACATGTGTTTGTGACTTGCAGATTGCTATAACGGGCAAAGGCTTTTTCCGAGCTTCTGAGATGGCAACGGACTTGATCATCAGTAACATCCTTCGTATAGGCCGAGTGAATGTCATCGGAGACGTTATTCTCTTTCTTGGCAAGCTTTGTGTCAGCCTTGCAAGTGCACTTTTCAGTTTCCTCATGTTGGACACTCACAAATACAAATCATCCCACAACAAGATCACATCCCCACTATTTCCTGTACTGGTATAGTCACAACTCTTCTATTTTCTATTCAAACCGTGAGAATATATATATATATATATATATATATATATCTGTGTGTGTGTGTGTTCGGGTGAAAATGAAAGTTATAGTTAGAAGGGTTGGAAGAGATCTCCACCCTCGGATAGATCCTAATTGAAGAGAACAACTAAATCAACATTAATAAGATACACTAGATCAATTCCTTCTAAAGCGCAATTCATGGGTTGTTTTGGGATGAAGGATTGTGTGAGAATAGGAGTTAAGGTGAGAAGTGTAAGAAGAAATCTGGACCCTTGATCACTTTTAATCTCATCCCCACCCCATGAATTGCGCGTGATACGGGAATTGATCCGGTGCATCTCATTAGTGTTGACATTCAATTATGATTGATCAAAGGGTGGAGATCCCTTCTTACCTTTCCCACCATAACTTCCATTCTCACCGGAAGCCAACCCTATATATATATCCCATTGGATTACTCTCTAAATGAGCTCTTAAAGAGATATTTCTTTTTTTTTTTTTTTTTTTGGGGGGGGGGGGTTCCAACATATTTGAGAAATTGTCCAAGTCTAGTCGATGTAGGACTCTAACACGCCCCCTCCAAGGTGAGGATAGATAGACAAAGATGTCCCATATGTTAGACTTTGGCTCTGATACCATGTGAGAATATGACAAATCCCGTTAGAATACTCTCCAAAAGAGCCCTTGAAGAGAGAGGGGGGTGGGTTCCAACATATATTGAAGAGAAAATGTCTAAGTTTAACCGATGTGAAACTCGAACACAACCCATTCGTGAGGCTCTTGACCCTATCTTTGAGTGGGATATACTGGGTCTGTTTGATGACCTAAAAGATTTGTACTGAATGTATCTGATGGGACCGTGCAGGTGTGTTGGGGTCTGGGATACATAGTCGCTACCCTCTTCTTTGCGGTGGTGGAAATGTCGATCGATACGATCATCCTTTCGTATTGCCAGGATGCAGAGGAACACCAAGGAACTGCACATTATGCTCCTCCACTTTTGATAGAAACCTTTGATGAACAGAATGAGGTGCAAAGAATTGGACAATGATGGATGGAATGTAGTGCCATTTTGTTTTGTTGTTAGTAAGTAGCATCTTTTCTCTAGCAGTAACTTATGTGCAGCAGAACAAACCATGCCAAACAGCATTGTGATGTATAAAATATGTGGCCTGCCACAGTTGCAAGTTTTGACTGAATCAATGATTAAAAATTTAAAGTTTTCTTGAATATTTTGGGTAAAAAGTTGATTACTGACAACTCCAACTGGTCCCACACGGGACCTGTCTCCAAGGACATCAATGTGAGGGGACATTTTTTAGCTCACCCAACGGCCGAGGCTAGGCATGTTGGGAGATCAAACCTTGGACATGTCTTGTATTTGAGTAAAGTCACCCGATCCCTTTGCCAACCGAGTCACATGCTAGAGGCTTTTGGGAACAAAAAGGTCATATGTTTGGGAGCTTTAAACAAGGGTATGTATTGGTGTTGTTAGTAGTTTGATGAGCTTAATGGGAATTATAGCTTATATGGTCAGTTATATATGATTGTTTGGTATTGATTTAATGGAGTCGGTTATACAGAAAGCCAAGTTTTTCTAAACTTGTTCTTTCCAATTAAAAAACATGTTTCTATCAATTAAAAAAATTCTTCCAAACAGAAACATTTCCAATTTATACAAATATATTAATTCACACAGAAAACTTTATCCATACAGAATTTAATAAAAGAATAACTAAGGGGCCGTATACTCAAATGCTTACCCAGTAAGTACATACTTGTAGGAGTCAACACTATAATTTATTTTTCTGGGTAAGATTATATTGCATCAAAACGATATAGTATGCAACAATTATCCAGTAAGCACTTACCCGAGTAAGAGTCGTCACTTTCACTTACCGGGTAAGACTCTTCATCTTTTTACCGTTATAACCGGGTAAGATTCTAAACTCTTGCCATGTTCATCCGGTAAAAAAAATTACCCGGCAAGCACTTACCCTGTAAAATGTAAAAAAGAAAGGGTCACAAAATCTAAGGTTTATATTTGATCGAGACTTTTAAAATCAAATGGTGGTTGTTTTATAAGAAAGTGAGCGATACTCCAAACTGGTTGTGGGTCTATTTGTGTTTCCTTGAGCATCTTGAAAGGCGACATACGAAATTTCCATCTTCGTCATCGTCTATCTGGAAATCAAACCAGGTAAATGTATTGGAACTCATCTCTGTGTCTAATTTTCTATTGATCATCTTCTTCTATCTCAATTTCTGTTGGCTCGTTCGAGTCTTTGGCATATGCACAAGCTCCTTCGTGATTACTATCTATATTAGAAACTTGATAAGCACCAATTCGGAACAACATGAATGTATATGAACCCTAGATGTCAAGCCATTTCTGTTAGTTGCTTTTATTTATCTTTATCAAGGAAAACCATTGATTTCAGTTTGTGTTTCTAATTGGTCGATTTGTAGTTCTTTGAACTGGGGGCTGGATTTCTTTGTTCCATTCTGCTATATATTAAATTGAAAAAGTATCATCTGTGTGTATAGTTGATTGGTTTGGAAGTTATTTTCAATTTTGAAAGATCATATGTGATACTTTTAATATGCAAAGCAAGTGTTCGATAATATGCCTCCAAGATATTTTGTATAGATCATATGTGATGATATGATGTCTTGTAATTTCTATCGCTTCACAATGCCATCAAACCATCCAATTTCATTTAGGCACTAAATTATACAAGGGGTTAATCGGATTTTTTTTTTTGTCATTCTAATTGTTCATTTAGAACACTTATCAAAATGTAATTTTTCTTTCAAGACTTTGGGGGTTGTTTGTTTGACATTGAATCATAGGATTCAGACCCACATCTGATTTGGTCAGATCTGGGTTTTGTTTTGAATTGCTGAACAAATCTCTGATTCTGATTCGGCCAGGACCTAAGGTGAAGGTGTCCCATTCAGTGGCTCGATATTCCACATTTATCATTTTGCTCCTCCCTAGCTTTGTGTTCGCCCTCACCATGTTTCTTCACCTTTGCCTTCAACCTGCTGCTTCGACTTCTCACCTTCTAATCGCAGAGGAAAAGAGATAAGAGGTTAGGTTTAGGTTTAGGGTTTTAATTATCTGAGTTTAAAATTTATATTTAATTAGACAAAATTGGTTATGTAGGATTTTAAAATTTATACTTGAGTTTAGAACTTATATAGAATTAGAAAGGGTAAAATAGTAACTTTTTGGTCATAGTTGTTCTTTCAGAACATTTATCAAAGACCATTTTAAATCCTACACTAAATCATAACAAGCTTGTTCTGTCGTCCATCGACTGTCTCTAGCTTTGTGCTCGACGCCTATTAGGGTTTTTTTTACTTGAAATTCTTTGTTGTTGTTTCAACCATTTATAATTTTCAAAATTGGGGTTTGTAGTTCCCATTTGATTGTCAGATTACCTATTGTCAATTTATTTTGAATTTTGCTATTGCAAGATTGGTGATGCATTAGAACTAAGAATCGGTATGTTCTCTTCTCATGTCAAATGTGTTTTAAACTGTTTCGAGGGGGGTTGTATATGGCACTTCTGTTTTATATACAAAATTATTTGCACACAAATATTTCTCAAAACGTAAATAAGTGGTATTGTGGAATGTAGATATAAGAGGAAAAAATCAAACTCCAATGTCTGGTCCACTTGTCTCGAGTCCACTGAAGATGCCGAGCCTCTATTTCAAATTCTTTATGGTAGAACTTAAACCTTGATACAAGGTGGATATGTCTCTTTGCTTTAGCAAGAGGCAGTGAGGCACAAATGGATCATTCACACTATAATAACTACCCACCAAAAAAAAAAAAAAAAAA